CCACGTCCTGGTACCACGACTTGGGATCAAAAAAGTGCTACTTTGCTTCTAGTTTCACCGCAGATTTCGAGCGATCCCGAAAAATCTGCAAATACTTGGCGAGTGGCGGCGATTTGGCGACGTTCACGGCTGAGGAAGCCGCTGGAGTTTTCAATCGGGAATTCTGGGCTAATAATTACGCAGATATCGGTGAGGAAATCTTTATAGCCATTATATAAAAAGAAATCTGAATGTTGATGGCTGAAAGCAGGGGAAAAAGCATAATTTATTCTCAAAAAAATATTTCATCTACCTGTACGTGGACATTTCTAGGGTTAAAAACTGAGGAAACACAACCACCACAAAAAATGGATAGGTTTTCAGTGTTTTCCCTCTGAAATCATTTCAGCCATTTCTTCAAATGAAGTCAGAACATTGTGGCAATGCCTCTTATAGGTCACTATCCAATGTCTGTGATCCAGGAGACATTCCCTCGGGACATTGGCCACTGCATGCCAGATTGGGTTTCCCAATGCACACCAGAGTATGTTTGCCAATATGAGCCAGATTGCATTAGCAAACACAATATACAGCATCCCCTGGGCCATATGAGTGAGAGTCAGCCACCTTCATGTCTAGCAATGCACCCACAACCTAGGTCCAATGCATATAGCTATGCTACTTCTCCAAAAAATGAGGTACCATATTTACTCGAGTACCACTTGAACCTTTTTTCCCAAATTTCAGAAGAAAAAAAGGGATGCATGTCATAAGCAGGTACAAAATTTTCAAGAAGTTTTAGGAAGTTATGTTTGCATTATACTTAATTATAATGGAGAAATTTGGAACAAATATAAAAGAAAACATTTTTGTATTGAAAAAGTTGAAAATTCATCAGATTTTTGTTCAATTCACGCCTAAAGTCAATTTTTTTGTTTTTATTTTTGAAGTTTTATGGTTTTAGATTTACTAAAAATTGGGGTGCATGTCTTAATCGGGGATAAGTTTTTTGCAAAATTTTCATCTGAAAAACCTCAGTGCATGCCTTACTTGAGGGTGCGTGGTACTTGAGTAAATACAGTATATTCATATTAATTTAGATTTTAGAAAATCACGAGCATGAATATTTTTGAGATGAAAAAGGAGTTCATGAATTCACTTTTTATGTTAAAAACCTCTCCTACATTTCAATCATTCAAAATTCACACTTCTGTCTACCTTGATGAAACAGTTCTAGAAATATTTTCTCTTCAAAACTAAATGAACATTTGTTGCAACATTCAATAAATTTTCTGTAAAATGCAGAACCAAACTTATTCTTGCAGCTGAATTCAGCTTTGAAGAATTCTTACTGTTCATAAATAAGCAATATCTAAAATGTGACTCAAACTTTGAAGATCCCGAGCAAGTTTGCTAATTGAGATAGAAGGGCATTTAAAAAGCAAATGTTTCCCACAATAAGGCCTTTCAAGCTTTCTCCTGATGCCCATGTACCCTTGTACTCAACATTGCAGGTAAACTGCTGATGTAACTGCAATGTTCAGGGATGTACTTGCAGTGATGTTAATGTAAACATTGCAGGTGCATTGCCTCAATTAAGACTCACATTTTCAAGGATATTTCAGTGTAAATTTGCTCAATTCCTTGGCATTGCATATGTTCAATGATACTTTAAAATGGGCAGGCACATTTCCCCCAAAACGCTGTGTGTACCCAACAGGAATGCAATCCACAATGCCTTTCATCATTGCCTCATCTCCAACTTTTTGGATAGCACCCTGACCACATGTGCTGCATTGCCTTGCTCAAAATGCCAAAATACAGGACAATAGCTTGAAATCCTAAGGCATGGCATTACCCCAGTGTCTGGCTGCCCAATGCTCCCAGTATTTGCTGGGATGGAGATTTACAATATAGCACAGAATCAGAATTCAAGTAGACATGGTCTTGTGCAATCTCTTTTTTTTTACATAAAAATAAACCCCACAGAAAGATTTGCCAAATGATCACACAGAAAGATTGAAATAGTCATAAGTTTTTCGATCTAACTTCAGAATTAACCTTCCAATTAACTTTAGGGATGCGAATCCGCACTATTTTTTTTAAGAAACACAATTTGAGAGCATTTCATAATTGTTTCAAAATGTCCATTAGAAGTTTCTGGCCCACAAAAAATCAAAGGTTTTTTCATATCCATTACATCTCGGTATTAATTTCGAAGGTAACGCCCATTACTGGATCGGAGTGAGGAGGGAAAACAGCAGTCAATCCTGGTCCTGGGTTCAATCCGAACCCGTCCAATCGAACCCCGAGGAAACCTACAGCGACTGGGATTTCCCCGGGCAAACTCAAACAAACCTGGCGTTTCCCAGATGTGGGTTCGTTTTCCCCACAAAGTGGAGCGATGTCGACGTCAACCTCGGCGGTTCTGAGTCGTCAGGTCAAACGTTGCTTCCAGCATTTTTTTGTAAACGATTCGCCCCGGAAATCAAGAACAACGACACGGAAAATCCCCTGGCATTGAGTGACGTCAACAACAATGCCGACACTTATTTATGAAACATTTTCTATCAATTCAATTTGCTGGAAAAATCCAGATTTATTTATTTTTCTTTTTACCCTCAAACTGAATGGTTATTTCCGACGCATCCCACTGGTCTCGAAAATAAGATCCACAAGTATCTTCTCAAAATACATGAGTGACGCTTCTGACAAACAAAGCTGGCTTGCCTCAATGTTCCACCCGTCAGATCATTTCAACAAATGAATGTGTGGCAAAAGAAAGTTCCTGGAATCCTGCCCGACATAAGGAAATCCGTCTTCAGAAAAGCAGGTTCTTCCAGATGAAATGTTAACCACAAGAAGATNTTTTTTTTTAATTCCTCTTCCTATCTTTGTATTTTTCTCAGATACTCGTTTATGAGCTCTTGCGTTTGTACAAATAATATCCCAAGGACTCCTTCACAGCTCCCTATAGAAGCAACCAAATACTGTGGCACACCAAGCCTGGAGTCCCTAACAGACCCCAGACTGCTGAATAAAATACCGCAGCTGCAAAACGCGCTGAAGTACTTGCTGAAGCCAGACAGAACCCGGTTTGTCGTCCTTCCCACGTCCCATTATCCCTGGCGCGAGCGAAAGCTTATCCGCACGCTACACGCGGTTTCGTTTCGATTTTCTCATTTCGTTCCTCTAGTGTTACAGTATTTTGTTTTTATGCGTCTCGGGAAGTAAGAGGAAAACAAAACTAGCAACACGAAAAATAGAAAATAAAACTAAGGAATGGAGAAGCGGGACGAATGGGAAGAGGGGGTGGAATAACGCCGGGTGCACAGTCTGGTTCTGTGAATCCCGGTTCGGGAATGCTGGGTGTAGCTCATTTCCAGCAGCTGTTTTTTTCCATTGCATGTTTTACTGCTATGGGGTATGTGTGCCAAGGAAAAATGAGACTGCCTTATACTGATCAAAGCAGGAAGGAAATTATATCTTACCTAATAAAATAATTTTACTTGAATATAGTATGACAGACAGATTTAAATACCCTCCCATCTAAGCCCCTACCCCCCTCCCACAGATCCACAGAGAGGCATGCAGGAGGGTCCTGTTTCCTATTTTTTAAACTTTAAAAATGTGGCAAAAATTAAATTCTCATGAAACTTCAAATAAATTCAATTGTAGCAGGTACCATTCAATTTCCAACATTTCCTTTTTTGAACATTTCAAAAGGTATTGTCTCAAGTTGGTGAGCAAATTTGATTCAACTGCTGATCAGACAATTACAATGCGTTTTTGTAAGAATTGCTCAATCCAATGTTGACAAGGGTTGGAGATTTAACCCTTGGACGGCAAAAAGTTCTTTCCCATTGCCGGCCAAAATTGGATTATTTTTGTATGCTAAGGCGTTTTCATTTTTATGAAGGTCAGAAAAGACCTTCCAGGTGGGCTGAGGCAAAGTTGGGATTAATCCAAGAAAAGCCCATTGCTTAGCATAGCATTTTTTTCATTTTCCCACAAAATTTTTCTGTGCAAAAAGAAAAAAAAAACATTGGATTTTTCCCCAGACTTTGTCCTCAAATCCCTGTTGTCCTTTTTTTATTTTCTGCCCTGAGGTGCAATAAAATTTTGCAAAAATAGTCCAACTTTGCCGCCCAAGGGTTAAATCGACATTTTCTGAAACTTCCTGAGGAAAACGATGGGATGAATGCACAGAAAAGTCTTTGTAATTAAAAGCGCTTGCTTTTTGAACTATATTTCTGCATCTTCAGTGCAATGCCACCTGAAGGTAGAATACAATTTTCCATTTTGTACATTCTCAGTGACCTTCCTGTCCACTTCTCTTCCCAAACAAATCTTCCTAATGTTGAAGGGATGGGAGAACCCTGTTAGCCACTTCAGAACCATGTTAGACTCAGGAGAGAGGGAGGAAGCAGTTTCAGCATTACTCAGCAATGATCATTCATTTTCCACTGATGGAGAAGTTCTTGCTATACTCCTTCAAAATTGGGTAGGAATAATAATTGTGAGTATAAATATCATCAAATATTTTCTGCCTCATCAGATGAAGAATGCGCAAAATTTACATGTGAAAACAGTTTTTGGTTGGTACATGGATTAGTGCAACTGGGTGGTCACTGCTACCTTCCTGAATTAAATTGTCTGGTTTTCATCTGTTCACCAGCAACAATGTGTGAAATGGAGCAATACATTCATGAAACAGGCATCATTTGAAAATGTTGCAAATGGAACAGTCGAAGAGGAAGAGAATGTGTGATGACTGATGCGTATATGTGTAGCAATAAAAGTAGGACATGGTTTGCATCCAGCAAAAAGTTGGGCATTTCCAATCTTTGGGCCAGTTATAAATCTTTGAACATCTTTACAAATCTGTGCACCCATTCAGTAAAACATTTACTGACCCATTCAATTCACTCCTTCCAAAATCAAAATGGCTATACTGCTGGACTTTATTTTTTTGTTCAATTACTGTACAGTATTTTGATTTGACCAACAAAAAATTCTGCGTTGGAGGAATTGATTTGCTCTTTTGAACAAGTCTTTTTGCAATGTTGCATACTGATATTGATGCATCAAATTCTATACCAAAAATTTTTGGCTTTAGAAGACTGTTTATAGAGATTTGACCTTCAAAAGCTTTTTTCAATTTTTTAATACCTAGGAAAAGCAATCTTGTCTTGGGAGGGATAAAATCCAGAAAATGGGTGGAAAGGCTGTCCAACATTGAATTTATGACAGTTTTTTATGCGTCTATAAGGTTATTTAAAGCATAATATTCTGAACTCCCCTATACCGAAATAAAGCACAAGTATAAAGAAGCAAATGCAAGTAGAATAAACCAGATCTTGCACAAATTAGAATCTAACTTTTTGGATTTTTGTGCCATATACGGAGCTTTCTTCTCTGTGTAAAGGCTAATCAATACCCGAGACTTTCCCTCTATGAACCACATTTTCAGAACTTCCAAACATCAAGACAGGTAAGGACCCCTTCTCAAACCTCTGCAAGGCAATTTTGCCATTTTGAAATACCTTCAAAATATTTCTGTAATACAGCCATTGTGAGCAAGAAAAAAGCTTAGTTATTTCTGCAAAACTTTCTGTTATGAAGATATTCAATTTAATTTTTGAATGCAGCCTTTGCAAGGAAACTGATAAACACAATAATTTGTTTAACTGTATCTTTAAAAAATGTTGCAACCATATGATTATCAGCGCACAGATAGGTGAACATTTATATTCAAAGCATATCAAGACACTTTGAGGGGTATTTAAACCTAAAATTCCGGGTGTGCAAAAATCCCTGGAAATGCCATCAAAATGGAACTTGAAGGGAGAGTTGAAATTTTAGCATATCATTCTGATGAGAACTGTGAAGGTTTCTAAATAAATCTAGTCGCTTTTCAATTATTGGGTTATGTGTGATTTAAGTTATTTGCCTGTTCTTGGAATTCGTGAGCTTCTTCATGCTGACATTTGACCTAGTGTTCCAAAGATTCTGTTCGTTGATCTAATGCCTGTGTCAGGTAAGGTTGAGCAGAAATGTGTGCCATTGAGTGAAAATAATTTATGAATTTCTAGAAGCCAATCTTATTTTGCAGTTTTTAGTTCCATTACTAAATTTTAAAAATTGCCTCCATTCTGAAGCACGTTCGAGCTCAAAAGGCTACAGTGTTTTGCACAGAAAAAATTGCAGTATATTATTGAGACTTCAATGATACTTTGTTTTTAACCCTTGGACAGAGGCAGCCTCCTTTCCATCCCAGGGCAAAGTTGGCCCTATGGGCCTGCATAACTCTTTTGCACAAGGTTATGCAACCCATGCCAGATGGGGGAGGGCAAATTCAAATTTTATCCAGGGATAAAGAAATGCTGGGAAAGTCCTGAGGTGGAATTTTTCCATTGACCTCTAACCTGGGCTCCTGGCTTTCAAGCTTAAATTTAATCTTTGAATGGGGAAACAACACAAGGCCAGGGGAAAAGAAGGGAGCCTTGAAGATTTCATTTCCTCATTTTCAGGTGAAATTTTTCTGTGGGAAATTTTTAAAATGCCAGGATTTTCCCCAACTTTGCCCAGCACACACTGTTGGTTTTTTTAAATTTAATTCTTGAGTGCAACCAAAATCTACAAAAAAGTCTGACTTTGCCACAGAAGGGTTAAAAACAGGCCATCAAAATACTTCAGAGCATTCAGCAACCAAATCTTTCAAATATCCCTATGCTAACTGTAATTGCTTGAATTCAGTATCTATGTCCTTGCAATTTCATGAAGCAAAGTTTCACTTTCATTGCCTAAAACCTGTGAAAGTTGTTGGGGGACCTGCTGTGCCAGATTGAGGTGTGCCTCATAAATCAGGGCAAGAGTAATTTGGGTGGAAAAACTGCCCAAGAAAAACTGAGAGGGCCGCAGGGCCCCAGAAAAACTGCAAAACTTGGAGAACTTTTATTCTCTGAGATTCTGTCCCCAGCCTTTGACTTGACGTGAACTTTTCCTGACAAATCCCAGGCCTTCAATAAATTGCCTGATCCAGAGTGGAGTACTGGATCAAGGTCAGACACAATAAATAATCAAAACCCATTTTAATTGGTATTCTTTACCAGTCTGTTTTGAGCTGTCATTGAAAATAGTTATGTATTCAAAATAGTCCAGAGCTTGATGAGAGGTTTTTTGGGAGCCCATCTAGACTTCTGTAAGAATCCTATTTTGCCAGTGATTACAGTGTATATCTTCAGTTTATTTTGGAATGTAATACAGTAGCATGCAGAAAGTGCACACCATGAATTAAGACAGAGTTGAAGATCACAATTGTCTTTCTACATGCACCCCTGAAGCAGAAAAAATCATGGGATTTTCAGAAATTTTTCTAAGAAAGTCATGTACCAAATTAGTCAAATATCAAGGTGCCTTTTGTATTCACTTTTGAGGGAGCCTGATAGTTTAACTCCAGTAGAGATGATACAGATTAACCCTCAGAATTCCTGTATTTTTTAGCCACTGATATAGATAATATGGGTACCAGAACAAAACAAAAGAGAACACTTTATTTGCCACTTTTCAGCGTTCACAAGGTTCAATCAAGATTTCTACAACCAAACCCCCTTCCCACCCAACCCAAATCCACTCAATGGCATTTAATCACTTCAGAGCAGGAAACAGAGCACCTCTTTTGAGAGGGTCTCAACCCCTTGAGTCATTGACTCAAAACTGAAATAGACAGACTGTTAATCAACTTAATTTATTGATACAGAGGAACAACTTGAGTCATTGACTCAAAACTGAAATAGACAGACTGTTAATCAACTTAATTTATTGATACAGAGGAACAACTCACAAAGAGACAAACAATACGTTTGCCAGAGGCTAAAATGGATCTCTGGCTCCTGACTGACAGAGTACTGTGGAGGTCAACTAACTTTTGGGAATGAAGGCAGAAGTTTATATTTATTGCTAGTCTTGGTTGAGGGATGAAAGAATTTGACTTCCACTCATGTGCTTCATTTAAATTATAGAAATGCCACAAGGTTTCAGAAGGAATCAAAAATCTAGTCAGTGACTTATTCTAATATTACCTCTATGTACTACTGATATTTTGGGGGCTGTTACCTATCATGTCACTCAGACATTCCTTTAGGGCTTACAGAGATGGCACTACCATGACACAGATTAGTTCACAATGCAGGAACTGGTAGCAAAAAAAATAAATCGTCACAGGATATGATTTTTATACTGTTAAAGTGTCTTTATAATTTTGCCAGGAGACCATTAGTGTACTGTGCCATCATTGGGACCCTCTACTGCACAGTGTGAACTTCTGTTAACGGAGAGGGTGAAAAGAGGAACTATATGGTGGGATAGGGGCGACAAGGGAAGGAAAACTGCCAAGAGGGACATAAAAAAAAGAAGGATATGATATGAGATGCGGGAAAGGGAGAAACACAGGGGAAGGACTGAGTCCATGAAGGAGGGGAGACGAAAGCATGCGAGCAAAGGGAGTCAGTCTGCACCATATTCCGGCCTGGTCGCGACGCGGTCCTTTCCTCTTTGTCTGTTGAATAAGTAATACAGGAATGTACTGAGTTTATAAATATTGAAAGATCAACATCATTCCCACATTTGATTTTGTGGGTGGATAAAGGTCCTCGCGGGAGACGCCTACGACGATAGAAAAATTCGCTGAAAGAGACTTATTCGCGAAGAACTATTTAATTTCGAAATTTATTGTTGAACGTTCGCGGCGTTCGCGAGAATTAGTGAGACATACAAAATGGCCGACATGGACTGCATTATCGGGAAATGGAAGATGGTCAGCAGCGAGAACTTTGACGACTACATGAAAGCGTTGGGTGAGTTTTTCTTTCATGTCTAACCTCTAGTGTATTCTACTGTGACATTTTATAGTGAATTTGAAGTAGGGGTGAAGTAGCCGGAGTTTTCAGTACCTCGTCACCATAGGCAACCATGTGTGTGTGTCTGTGTGTTTTTTTTTTTCGATGTTATGTAAGATTTTTTTTTCTGCGCAGGAGTTGGAATAGTTCTTCGGAATTTGGCGAACGTCGCGACGCCGACTATCGAATTCTCCAAGGGAGACGACGACACGTGGACTATGACGACATCTGCGACATTCCGAACAGTGGAGATTAAGTTCAAGTTGAACGAAGAGTTCGAAGAGGTCACTGGTGACGGAAGAAAGTGTGCGGTAAGAATTCTATCATCGTTCACCTGTACGATGTGTAGGTGTCGCACAAATTTTACAGCCTTGCTTTAAAAGCGCTGAAACATCATCGTAAAGGTGACGAAATGTAACGTTTTATGCCAAACAAAATACCGTAACTGACAAAAGCTAACCAAAATTCAATCCAACGCAACTCTAGTCAGTTTAGGCGACACCTATGCGATGAAAAGGAAACTCATTGGGGAAATCACGGGAGAAATGCGTCTGTAACAGATTTTTATTCAGCGTTTCCGAAAGATGAAAAGAATTAGTGCAAAACCTCCTTTTTTTCGACGATTGCATATCATTGAAGAATGCCGCATGTTCAAAGTTTTTCAAATACAGTAGTTTCACTTCCTGAAACGTCAAACAACAGGAAAACCACGTTTTAAACCAGGAAAACATCGTTAAGCATAAACAAAAACATAAGGAAGTTTTGTAAGCCACATTTAACAGCCTAGCCATTTTAAACACAGTTGCTTTGCGGTATTATATTAAAGATCTTTTTTGAATCTGGTCAAAGTTAGACACCTCAAATACCTTCAGTTCACTGGGTTAACGGAGGTTCTTTTTATTGACTTATTCCATCGTAAAGGGTTTGAACCGAGGCTTTGCTGATTATCGTTTCGTGGTACTATATTAAGTATATTTGACAGAAGATTCATAAAAATTAAAGTTGAAATTTTACTTTGAAGGATGAAGCTTTTTAAAAATCTTATTACTGTGCAAGCATCTCATCAGTAATACATTGAGCAACGTACGGATTGCATTTGTTGAGAGGATTGCATTCGGCAGCACGTTCATAGAATTTCAGGAACCCAATTATTCAAATGCGATGATATTTATCGCATTTTATAGCAAAAATAAGCAGTTCTTGTGGTAGAAGCGCAACTTCCGCAATCATAACTTCGAATTAGAGAATTCTTTGGTTTGCTAAAATTATGCTGATTTTGCCTCAGACGCCGTTCATATCTTTCAAAGTACTGTAGTAATTTTTTATAATTTAATCTGCTGTATATTCGCATTACAGACGACTTTCTCATTCGAAAACGGAGTTTTGACGCAGAAACAAGTGGGAAAAGACGGATCGAAAAACAGCGAACTCATCAGAACATTCAAAGGCGACGACCTGACAACGGTAATTATTTGTATATACAGTAGATATATAACAGTTGATAATTTGAAACCAGCATGTTTAACTGACAGTAAATATAAAATAAATAAGCAGAGTACAGAGCAGGGTTAACATTTTTCAATTTTATGAAACATGTTGATGTACAGTATGCACATATTATTGAAGAATATATGTATATTTCAAAATATGTAGTATCTATCAACATGTTTCATATATACAATATAATATAATGGCTGTATGCAAACATGTCAGATGTCCAGTTTTATTTTGTGGAGTGTGTTCTTTTTTTTTTGGTCATCAATTTGTGCTTTGTTTCCTGCTTTGAAGTTATTGAATGTCATTGAGGGGATTTGGGTTGGGTGGGGAGGGGGTTTGGATGCAGGAGTCTTGGTTGTGCCTTTTGAACGCTGAAAAGCAGCAAATAATGTGTTATGTTCATTCATATATATCAACATGTTTCATATATACAATATAATATACTGTATATATATATAATATATTTATATGTATCAACATGTATGTTCCATCAAATTGAAAGATGTTGAACCTGCTCTATTCCCTGCTTATTTATATTTTATTTAAAGTCAGTTGGACGTGCCGGTTTCAAATTATCTGATCCTCCAAATTTCTATCCTTTTCTAATGTTTGGAAATTTGTTGCCAGGAAAAATTTTGCGATTTGGTTGGTGTTTTCATTTTCATTATTGAAGTATGTTGCAATTCTTTCTCCTCATTGACTTCCGGTATGAATTGCAGCCCATGATGAACAAAATGAATTTTCAATTGATAATTCATCATTTTAGCATTACAATTTTCTCCCTTGAGTCCTTGGTCTGTGAATATGTTTGTGGTGTTGCATTTAAAATTTTCAAGAAGAAACCTCTGGAGAAACTTACTTTTTTTTTCTTGGGGATATTTAATGTAGTTTATGCCTGAAAATACTTTTTTTAGAATGCATTTTCTTGAATTTCATAGGCATTTTCAAGGTTCTGGAACCAATTAAAATTATTCCTATTCTTTCTATAGGGAAAATGTGAATTGGCTTACAAGGTATTTGGCTAACAAACTTCGTTCAGGAGCCAATCAAGTTTGTAGGCCAAGACCCCTCTATTGTATTTAAACATTCACATATATTTATAATCTGGCAATAATTCATTCGATTCTCTTTCCAGGTACTGAAAGTGGACGACGTCGTCTGCACCAGGGTTTATAAGAAAGTTTAACTAAAAAAAATACATCTGAAAAATGCTTGTTTCCAATTTTTTTTCCTGTCCACGTGGAATTTTGATTTTGAAAGGCTTTAAAATTGGTGGGTTACTATTCAGCAGGTGGCGAAAATGAATGATCAATTTACTTCGAGAATTTCGATCCGGTTTTTTCTGCACTTGTTTCTCTCAATTTGTTGCAAATATACGGGGTGCACCAGGAAGACGTCGTCTTTCAGTTTTTTTTTGAAGGCCTGAAAAAATGTTCCATTTTATGGCACTTCACGTATTGCGTACGAGCACTTGAACTATTTGTAAATAACTCGCTGCAAGAACGACGCCACAATTTGTCCTGTATTCAAAAATATTTACATTAGTTCTCGAACTGATCTGAATTGTTGATAGGGTTCGCAGCAAATTATTCAAATCTTTCAAAATGTTCTCTAAGATTATTTTTCCATGGCTCATGACTGTCCGGGAATAATTGTTTCAATTGTCTTGAAGAATTGCTGCGCTCTGATTTAGAAAAGGTCGGAGAACATCACAATAATGGGCCGAAACCGGTAAAGTTAGGCAAATTATCAAAATTTGTATGCAGCGAGGAATAAACGTTTGCTAATTTCTCTTTGTAGTTGGACATTTAAAATAAAGGCATGATTCTCATACCAAATACAGCCGGAGTAAAATAAATGAAGGTAATTTTGGGAATGAGTGAATAATCTTTTCCTCAAATTTTTTGCTAATTGGCAAATCTTGATAAGTCAAGCTTCCCAAAGTCAAATACCTTGGTGAATCAAATTGATTTCAAGTCCCAATCTGAATTCACTTTGACACAATGCATTGAATACCTCTGTAACTCAAAATATCTTTCTCTCAAACCTCTTTAACCCTTGGGCAGCAAAGTTGGACTATTTTTTCAAAATTGTGTTGCATCTCAGAGAGGGGAAGAAAACATCATCATCAAGGGGTTAAGGGCAAAGTCAGGAAAAATCCCATTGTTTTTCTCCCTGTGCACAGAAAATTGTTGCTGGAAAATTTAAAAAATGCTCAATTAGTCTTCCAGCTTTTTTTTTGGATTTATCCAACCTGTGCCTCAGCCCACCTGGAAGGGTTTTCCTGACCTTCAAAAAACTGAAAATGTGGAGGATACAAAATTAATCTGACTTTGTCCTGCTATGGGAAAGAACCCTCTGCTGTCCAAGGCTTTAGTCAAATTTTCTGAGGCCTTTTGGTATTTATTTCCTTCAAATATGAAAGAGAAAAACATAAAAACAAATTATTTGATGCATCTTGAAAGGAAGTGAGAGACTAATTCAGGAAATGAACCCTTGTCTGCAAGTTCAGCAAGCTATAAACTCCCAAAAAAGTAAGTTTATGTTGGAAAAATGTATGGAAGTGTCTTCTTGGCACCACACCAAATAAGCAGTAATCTTATCCTGTACATTCAATTTGCTAGGCCTGTGAACCAAACACAAGTTTAGTTCCCAGGCCCAGCAATGACAGGCAAAATATGTCTCCCCAAAAGCAGTCAATCTTGACCACCAAATTTAATCCTTCAAATCAATGTGTTTCCAAAAAACCCTTCCTTCCAACACATTTTGTCTTGTACTGCCCAATTGAGTGGATCCTCAGAGAAGGAGTTCCATGCACATTTTTTGCAAACGTTGTTTTGAATTTATTTCTTTGTGAACAACTGTAAGTTATAAAAACATATCCAAAACTTTCATCTCTGAAGCAGTATACCAACTTTATACTAGGACAAAAGTCCTGGCCACAGCTTTGCTGATCTATCTGTGTCTTTATTTCATTATTTTCCAAGATTCACTTCTGTAACTTGTAAAGCCTCTCTTTTTAGCATCTCCTGAACAGTTTAGCCATTGATTCATTATTATAAGCTATTTTGAACACTTGAACTTCTAGCTACTGTATTCTGTGATTTTGTGAGTGATTCTCAAATTCCTGCACATTTTAAGCCCAGAATATCCTCGTTTACAATTTCCCGCACAATTTGAAACTTTTCCTTGGAACATAAATTTTTGTTTCCTCAACTCAAAACCTCCAAAATTAGAAACCTCCATAAGTCAAACTTCTTTCCGGGTCCCTAGAAATTCAACTTAGAGAGGTTTGACTGTAATTGAAATGAAAATACCTTTCAAAGAGATTAGGAAGTTAGTAGAGCTGTTGGGAAGATTGGCCAAGTTAAAGAATTGGAATTGCAGATAACTGGAAATCTATGAGCAAATTTTCTATTCATTCAGAGGAATAAATATGATACTCATCAGTAAATAATTCCAGATCATATTTCCTTCCTTTGAGTTGAACTCAAATGCAAAACTCACAGTAACTGCTGGTGAGAAGTAACACTGCAAATCAGCAAAAGGTTTAAAAAGCCATCAAGTAGGAACCATTGAAGAGATATCGGAATTTTTTTAATCTACAAGGAATGGTTAAAATAATAGCGAGACCATAGTCATGAGGTCATCGTATTTCCAACTTTTCGGCGTCGCATTCTTTCAAACAAGAAATTTGAAATGTCATTTAACGCCTTGCAATCGTTTCTTTGGAATTTCAAGGACACTCTTCACTGATAACCTCTAAATACAATAACATTCAAGCCAACCTTCACAGTTTGCATCTCCTAAGAAGCATAAAGTTACTAAAGTTCAAGAAATGAGCGAAAGATAATCAATTAAATTATCTACATCTGTGTCTAATCAAATAATCGACAAAACCGAAACAGAAGAAGCAGCTCCAAAATTTTGAGCTAACCCTCGTACTTTTTCCAGGCTCATCCTTCACCCGCAATGGATTGTCCAAACAACAAAAGAGGACAACATTTATTTATTTTGGTTGTTGTTCGGAAGACAATAAGCTGTAACCGCACTTTTTCTTGCTCTCGACTTGAGTGAATCCCACCAAAGGAATTTCCCAGGTCAAGAGGTTCCATCGTCGTCTCACGCGGAGATAATAAAGAATAATAATCCCGGTGTGCTGAGAGACTTCCTTTCATACTGGAATAATTAGCGTTCTTTTTTGTATATAAATATATTATTTTTTGCTTGTTTTGTTCACCGCTGCTGGAAAGGCAAAACACACGTCGAAGAAAGCAACTTTCGAATTTCGCTGATTGCGGTCTTCGTCGGTGTCGATCGGCCGGCCGATGTCTCGACACTGTCTCCGTTTCTTTGACAGCAGTTTGTGCTGGAACCGAACTTCCTGCTCTTACTTTCATTTCGTGGCAATTGAGACAATTGAAGTATTTTGGCATTCACTTACTCACGCTAAATGCTGAGGGATTGTTCCGCTTAATCGCCTTTTTTATTGCAATTCTGGGGCGCAATTTTCTATAGATTTTGACTGAAACAATCGAAAAGGTTCCGATTCCCGTGGAAAATGATAGTTTATGAGCTGGAAAAGGGGCCTCCCATTCAAATATACTGCATTCTTAAAAACAAAAAAATAGAATTCTGAGTTCAACTATGATGAGAAAGCATACATTTTGTCCCCCAGTGGCGTGCAAATTAAAATGGCATTTTTCATCGCCGAAAATAAATGTAGAACATAACCTGAAGTGAATGAAGTAGAATATAATAGTCAGAAGTGCGATTGCGGGAAAGCATTAAATAATTGTTTTTCTTTTCAAATTGTTTTGTGAAAAATTGCAAAGGAGTCACATCATTTCCCTCGTTTGACAATTTGAGAGCAATTTTAGCACATGACCTAACGTAAATTAGGAAAAATTCAACATGCAAGTATCAGGAAGCACTTACATTAAAAATTTCCTTTTTCGTTTATACCGTTTGCTGGAATGAAGTGGCATAGAAATCATATTTTCTGCCAGCAGGTTTATTTCACCAGGAAATTCAAAGAAGTCGGTTTTGAGCATCAACATAGAAATTTAGTGCATATTATTACATGTTATCATTTATCTTTTTGTTTTAACTTAATTTAATCTTCCAGTACCACAAAAAATATTCAAACTGATAATTGACCCAAACAATTTTTTTTTCTTGGCACTATTTGTTTGAAGTGACTTGTCAATACATCTTGTATGTTTTATTCACCAGAGAAATTTGTGTTTTCAATTTGCTGTTAATGTCCTCTAATGTGTTTGATGAGGTCTTATAATTCAGTTTGTTGTTCAATTTACCATATTTACTCAAGTACCATGCGCCCTGGAGTAAGGCATACCCAGGGGTTTTTCAGTTGGAAATTTTGCTAAAACCGTATTGTAAGATATAGTTGTCCCGCACCGCCCGCAAAAGTTATTCTCGCTGCATTCCTTATGAAAACTGCTTTTTATTCATTAAACAACTAATTAAGGAAAAACCCACTGAGTAGGTTTTTCCTATTGCGTAATTCCTCTCGACTTCCACGATTTCGACCCCATTTTCTACACAGTTCTTCAGATCGTTTCGCAGCAAGCGGTTCTCTTACAAAGTGTTGGTTGCTTTTGAAATATTCCTTTCGAAATACATTTATCCACTTTGTCTTTCGGGAAAATTGCCGAATTCTCCCCTGCCGTATTCCCCGGCGGTTTGAGTCTACTATTTCATTCATTTGATTCTTTTTCCATCACGCTCTTTGTGGGTTTATCCTACAAAATTGGTAGCAGAGCGTGGTTGGTTTTTTTGTTAAAAGTAAAAGATACAGCAATCCCACTTCCCCTTACAAAAGTACATTCAAAGATAATTTTTTTTGACAAAGTGCCTTTTTGCGAAGTAACGAAGCCACATTGGATTCAACATGGTTCGTCGAGGAGTCGGACGCCCAAAACATGGAGTTTTTACTGGTATCGTGAGTACTGAACCTTTCGAAGAACCCCACAAAGAATCGCATAACGACTCACCCTATAATTCCGAAACCTTACAAAATCCTGAGAATACACACCCACCCGTTCAAATCGAAGAAGTGTTAGATAATACAGAAGAGAACCCCAAACCCACACCCCAGTTTGTTGCTAGCAATAATCAAGATGAAATGATTTCACTTCCAAGGCTGTCAAAAATCAAACAACTTATCATATCCATTCTACTGCGCATAGCTCAAATCATTAAAACGGCTGATAAACTAACTCTGAATCCAATGTCTGAAACGAAAAAACAAGAATTTGGCAAAATACACAAGTCCATTACCAAGCATCTCACTCTCTTAGCAACAGCTGAAAAGGACAATATTGATCATGAGAATGGAGTCAAATTAAGCTTACTTCAAGATGAAATGACC